TCTCCACTCCAAGGTGAACATGGGTGTTACATAACATGCATAATTGTTCAATCTGCATATGTCACATCCAGCTTCGTGAATGTTCATAGATCCCCCCGTAACTTGCTGAATATGTATACTTGGCCAACCTGATCAGCTTAAAGTCTCATTTTTTCCCCTCCTTCTCTCTGCTCTTTGCCAGAGGCTGCTGCACTGCCCCGCCTGTCAGGAAGCCCACCTTGCAGGCTATAACCCTTAACAAGATATAAAGTCTCCTTACAAAATTTACAGATCTTGTAATTTTTAAGTTGACATTTATTGAACACATAATATATACCAGTGGAGAACAGGCTGGTCCCTGTCCTTGTAGAATGTCTAGTCTTGTGGAAAATATAAACAATAGATTTTGGAATAAAATACACTTTTTTAGTACTCAGGAATGGGTATTAACTAATTATATCACTTTCAGAAATTTATTTAATAACATTTTCTTTTCTCAAAAATAGGGAGTAAAAATATTTTACTGATAGGGTTATTGAAGGATTAAATGATGAAAAGTACATAGAGAGGTAGGCATTACTCTCGGAACAAAGTAAATTACTTGATAAATGGTAGCCTTTATTATTAAATTACTGAGATTTGTTTTTAAGTGTATTGCTTAAACATACACAGTGTTTGCTGTCAGAATTAGTCTTTTATTTTCAAGGAGAATAAGAGTAATGGAATTGTTTATTTAATACTAATAAGAGCTTATAAATTATATGTATTGATTTCTACACCGTATTCATACTTGACATTTTTACTTAAGGAATGTAAGTAACGTATCGTGGTTTATGTAATAAAAATTATTTTCTCTCATGTTAGGATCCTGTTTTTAGTTTTTACTAAAATCTTAAATTTTTTACATAAAAAGTTATTTCACTAGCACTGATGAACTTTAGTTAAATATAAATCAAGTCTAGGGGACATTCTTTGCCTTTTCTTCCTCCTTTCACCACCCCCTTACCATATTTATTCTGTAATAGTAAATACAGACCATCATTTAAATAATTTAAAGACCTAATTAGCAAAATGTGGAAATGTAACACTCAATTATCTACCCTTATAAAAGAAAGAAAATGAATAAGACCCCCAAATGAAAGCAAAACAAAAATAAATACAGGGGACTTGATCAAATAAAAAAGTTTCTGCATGGCCAAGGACACGATCAATAGAGCAAATAGCCTACAGAATTGGAGAAAATATTTGCATGCTGTACATACGATAAAGGGCTGATAACCAAAGCTACAAAGAAGTCAAGTAAATCAGCAAGAAAAAAATCAAACAACCCCCTTAAAAAGGAGGCCAAAGATATGAACAGAAACCTCTCAAATGAAGAAAAACTAATGGCTAAGAAATACATGAAAAAATGCTCAATGTTGCTAATTATCAAGGAAACACAAATCAAAACCACGATGAGATATTACCTAATTCCAGTGAGCATGGCTGTTATCAAAAAGTTTCAAAACAACGGAGGCTGGCATGGATGCTGAGAGAAAGGAACTCTTACACACTGTTGTTTGGAGTGCAAACTAGTACAACCTCTATAGAAAGTGGAATGTAGTTACAGGTAGTCCCCAAGTTACAAAGATGTAACTTGCATACAACTCACACTTGCAGATGGAGGTTATTACAGGTAATAGGTAATATACCTGTTCCAGCTTACATACAAATTCAACTCGAGAATAAATTTACCTATGCAACCTATCTTGTTCATAACCTGGGGACTCCCTGTACGTCTAAGAACTAAAAGTAGGTCTGCCATTTGATCCAGCAGTCCCATGACCAGGAATTTACCCAAAGGAAAGAAAGACTTCCTTACTCCGTAAGCCTGTCGTTTTCTTCCTCAATAAACTTTGTTTCACGCTTGCCTTACTTGGGATGTCTAGTCATTTTTCGACCAAGAGTGCTTTAGGAACTGAGGACACAAGCAGCTGCCTGCAACCTTGACATTTTAGGACGCAGGCAGCTGCCTTGAAACCCAACAAATACAGGGAGACTCCTCTGCTCTCCATGGCTGTAGACTGTTGAGTTCAGACCTCAAAGCCTAGCTGGTCTGAGAGTATAGAATAAAGCATTTGTCACTTACTATACATTTCCCATGTGTCGGCCCACCGTGCGGAGCTTAAACACACCTGATCTTATCCATTCCTTCAACAACTCTGATATTATTGTCTTCCGAAATGAGGGGCATCTTACATCTCTCATGTTCAGTAACTACTGTTTACTGAATTTACACATAAGTTGAATTTGGATTTTACTGAATTTTTTCAGAAAGTTTTCCTTTTGGAACATTCCAAACTCATTACCCAGCTTCAATGTTTATTAATATTTTGGCTATTTGCCTATTTACTTTCTGTTTGCCCATCAACAAATATTTATTGAGAATTTTAAGATTAAAAATGTTACAGCTTTTGAGCCAAAGAACACTGGCTATTGTTCCCTGTGAAGCTAAGAGTTTGGAAGGGTCAGCTGGGTCACTGTCCCCTGGGGGAGGCCAGCACTGACGGTTCTCTGTTGTGTTTTTATCGTGTCCTGCTTTGGAAGGAAAAAGTGAGAAT